TCGCCCTTCTCATCACCCCTACCATGCATCTTCCTTGCCACCTCATCAGTAAGATACTGCTCGACATTCGGCGACAGCACCGCCGCAATGATAAGCAGTACGCCAAACGGAAGTGTGCAGAGATACACCGTGCGAAACGAAAGTGCATACGCGCTCTTCACAGCCTGGCCCGTTGCCGCAATAATCTCAGGCGAGATACCAGGTACAGCACTGAAGTCACCAGCCGTGATACTAGTGAATAGTGCTGGAAGAGACGTTTCGGGGAGACCAGCAGCAAGCGCAGCAGGCATAACCTTTTGTGGTATATATTTTGCAGACTCGGTTGCGAGAATGGAAGAGTACATGCTCGTAGCAATGGCAGAGAGGCCTGTTCGGATAGCGCCCATGACACCCGTGACCAGACCGATGTCAGCGGGGTCCCAGAGGTAGGCTGTGCTGGATAGTGTGAGGTTCTCGATGTAGCCTGCAGCGATGGTGCCGATGAGGAGCAAGGCGGTTGTGCGTTGTTCTGTTGTTTCGTCTGAGGCGGCGACCGCGGCGACGAATGCAGTGGTGATGACTGCTGCGACCGTCATTTGGATCTTCATGCGTGGGAGGTAGCGGACTCCGGCGCCTCCGAGGATCTGACCGAGGAGAAGTCCTCCACCAACGGCGCACTGTGTTTGTTAGAACAAGATTATCAGGATAGTATGATTGTTGGTTTGACTTACCGAGAGCCATCCAATCTTGGTGATGTCTGTGGTAAAGAGCGAAGAGACCATCGTAGGCCAGATGATCGAGTTTGCGTAGTAGACAATGGCTGCCAGACTAGCACAGGCGACATTGGCATCGTACTCGATGTTCCTAAACAGACGCAGGGGGATGAGGGGATATTCCAGTCCTGGGGCGTAGGCCTCCCAGAAACAGAAAGCGACTAGAGTGGCAAAGCCAGCAAACAGTGCTCCCAGTACGTGCCCGCTCTTCCATGGGTATGCGGAGCCGCCCCAGTTCATGCCAATGAGGAAGACGACGAGACCAGTTGAGAACAAGAAGATACCCATCCAGTCAAGGGTTTTGAGTTGTTTGAGTTTCGATTTGCCGCCAACGTGAAGCATTTCCTGCGTTTGTTAGTCGGGTTTGTATTGGCTGAAATGGGCTGCCTTACGTATGTTGGTGGGAAGTAGAAGAAGAAGTAAAGAACGATTGCCAATACGTTGACAATGCATCCGAGAATATAACACCACCTCCATTGCAGCTCGGTAGTCTGATAGAGTGATCGTGCTACTGGCGGACCAAAGACGGCGAATGGCACTGACGTTGACAGTACGAAAGCGTTCACGGGACCTCTCAGTGAGTTTGGAACGAGTTCGCCAAGAATGATGTGGAACGAAAGTTGGCCGGCTGCGGCAAGACCGTTGATGGAGTTGGTTGCCTAGAACAGTAAGTACCATGCGTAGGCTGTAGTTGCCAGAACATACAATCAGCATATTGATGCTCTGTGCACTTGCACCAATGATGTTTCCAATAAGACCGAGTATTGACGAGCAGATGAAGAACCATCTACGACCGAAGATATCCGACAGGCGACCGACAAGTGTGAAACCGATGGCGAATCCAGCTGTCCAGGAAATACCGACCCAGATGATGTCCGGTGACGGTCCGATCGCCGCGTTGATGAGACTCAGTGTGTTTGCTGGAAGTACCCATCCCAGGTAACTGGGAACTTTTAGTACATTGCCCTTAAGCGATTGATGCAAGGACATACCCAGAGATTTGCGCTAGACATGTAGCCACGACAGTGCCGATGAAGTTGATGCTTGTGAAATATGACTTGCCCAGATCGGCGGTATGGCCTCCAAGGGCTTCTTGAGCGACATGATCGTGGTGAAGGCCATGGCTGCTGGCAGTATGCTGATGAGTGAGGCTCTCGTTGGTGGTAGTGACTTCTTCGCGGTATTGCTTCTCTTCCGCCATGATGGATTGATGTTGGTTCGATGTTGACGGCCTCTGTGGAAGGTTGCGTAAGAAACGCAGAGGCTAGAGTTGTGCAACCACACCGGGCTCTGGGTTATCTTTATCATGCAACTGGCTCACGAATCATGGGTGTAAATCTGGGGTACCCCAGAATTAGGTGGAGACATGCGTGCCCAGGTGAAGGCAGGTTCCAGATAGCCGGGGACACTGTCATGTCAGCGCCACGTTTTAGAAATACAGAGTAATGATCTACTTTGTCTACATAAGGGCAAGTTCTCGTATACCGACTGGTATTTCGAACGTCTTCATCGGGCCAGAATGTTACGCGCAAGCTAATTCCACGTGCTCTGGCGTCAAGCAGCGGAAGCCCCGGAGTCGGGGGTGTTCGGTAGAGGCTGAACGCTGTGGTCTCGAGGAGGCTGATGGGGCAGTACCCGGATGACGGTAACCGGGGGTCCCGTGAACTTGATGCCCTGGTGAAGGGAACCTGTGGATCGTGCAGACAGCTAGTTATGAATACTACGGACTGTACGCGGTATCGACACTCAGCAGACTTCTGTATGCAGCGACCGGCTAATCTTCACAGTACAAAGATGCGTCACCAATCCGTGGTTGCAGGATGGTCGAATGCTCGAAGGACGATCGTCTAACGTTTCCCGTGCTGCAGTAGTCTGCTCGGCCTTCTTTCGACAGTCGTTAACCGGGTTACGCTGCTGATCTAGCGGAACACGCATGCGGGGTCTGGACTCGTGCGGTCTACTTTCAGCTGCGATGGAGTCTCGAGCCAGATCAAGCCACTCGAACGTCTCAACGTTAGTCCATGGTATAGTCGATGCCAGCAGACTGGGTGGTGGAACACCCGTGACGGGAACTCTGACGGCGCATTATGCACATGCACCTCGAAACGGAGCAGCTCGTTGGCGCACTGAGCAAGTCTGGGGTGGGCGACGCGACGAGGATGTAGGTTCGGTGTGACATTCCCCGCATCTGCGTCCCGTGGGGAAATTGGAAGCTCGAAAGGATGCCGCCGAACCTATGATAGCCCCTGGGAGGTGTAGCTGCCATAAATTATTAAACGAGGTGCATGCTATCCGATTCGTTTTGATGCAGTCATCTAAGAACAAGGGATTTCCAGAAGTGAACCTGGGATGGTGGGTGACCTCGAGCGGGTACTTGCGCCACAGAAACGTGATTGGGCGTGGTTCGCGGCGGGCTCCACTCAAAACTTTTGGTGATTCACATGTCGCGACTTGAACGCACTCGCGATACTCGCATGCCCGACCGATAGCACCACTTCCGTCCAATATCGCACACCATGGCTTCAGCAGTAGCGCCGTCGCCCGCGCCAAAGGAGGAGCCCGCCGAAATCTCCGCGAACGAAGTCATCAGCCCCGCCGATGCTCTATACGACAAATGCGCGCAACGGCCTGCGGGCCAGATCTTCTTCCAGCGCGACCTTTCCAACATGCAGGTCGCAGATACTGTGGCTCAGCTAATAGTGCTGCTGCAAGAGCTATGCGACCGCCACTTATTGAAGCTCATGAGCCTCGAGGGCGAAATGTGCTGGAAACTAAGGACAAGGGAAGAAGCCGACAAGTAAGTGTATAATGTCGCGGACATGGCATCTTGAACTCTTCTGACAGACATCCCTTCTCAGACTGCGACGACTCACACCCGACGAACGCCTCCTCTACTCCCACATCGACTCAGTACAAGCCGACGGCATCTGGTCCAAATCCCTCCGAGCCAAAACAAACGTCACACAACAGACCCTCACAAAATGCCTCAAGAGTTTGGAGTCGAAGGACTTAGTGCAGTCGGTCATGAGCGTCAAGTTCCCCAACCGGAAGATGTACCTCTTGAAGCACTTGAAGCCATCAGAAGACATTGCAGGTGGCCCATGGCAGTCAGAGGGTGACTTCGACATGGCGCTGATTGAAACAATATCGGGCATCGTCGCTCAGCATGTGGAGAACGAAACCTGCATCAAGGTGCCTGGCAACTGGAACGACTATGACACCACGGGCGACAGGACAGCTGCTATCGCTCAGAAGAAGGCCGAGGTTCTGGGCGCCGTGCGAGACATAGAAGAGGCGCCAGCCGTGAAGCCCTACAACCCCGCAAAGGACCCAAACACATCCAAGCTCGTCCACCGACACAACCCGCAATACCCAACAGCAGCCTCTGTAGCCAACTGGCTCAACTCGAAGGAGGTTCTGCGTGGCAAGACTGTAAGGGAGGATGATATGGAGCAACTCTTGGAGATGATGGTTCTCGACGACCGGCTTGAGAAGATCTCTGGCACAAACTACCGGACCGTACTACGTGCCACCGACACCAAGGTCTACAACGGCTTTGTAGATGCACCGTGCGGTAATTGCCCTGTTTTCGATCTTTGCGGAAACGAGGGTGAGATCTCAGCAAGGACGTGCGTCTACTTTGGTCAATGGCTGGAGACTTCATCCGAGGAAATTTAGATGGCCGGGAACGCAAAAGGCTATCGAAGTCTTCAGCGGAAGAATTCAGTCGTTCAAAGAAAATCACAAGGAATTTTGGTATTAGCATAGCGCGGAGTTTGGGGTGTCAGCATTTACATGGACGATCGAAAAGGTATACCCATTATATTTAAACAAGTTCTCCTCATCCTACGTTCTCATAAGAGATTACTGCAGCTCCAGTACCTTCGAAACCCTGGAGTGTCTCGCAACCATGCATGGGGCGTTGACACTGGTTATTGGAATGCTCCGCTAGCCTGCTGTGTAAAGTCCCCGAGATCACCAAAATCGCTCTCGGAGACATACGTGAGCACAGCTGACATCGACTGTGGAGACTTTTTCTCTATACGCCCGATCTTATACGCTCACTGACATTGTCCCCGAACAAATAGATTTGCAATGTACTGCTGGCGGGCGATGCTCAGCCATCGTACATATGAGGGATGCCGGCCCTCATGTTAATCGCATCACACACAGCACACCAAATCAAATCTAACTCACATCCCGATATCCAGCTCATCTAAAATGACCCTTCTTACCTCTCGATACACAATGGCAAGTTTCCTCGACGCTGAATCCGCGCAAAAGTACAAGAATGCGGAGAAGGCGACTCGTCCTTATGTCAAAACCATCGTTCAACAATCCGGAATAGCTGCCTATCTCGAAACAGGAGCTGAAGCCAATATACTCGATTTCGCATGTGGAACGGGAGTTGTTGCACAGGAAATCTACGATACAGTACCAAAAGAGAAGTGGGAACAGCTGAAAGTGCTGGGCACTGACATCAGTCCCCCGATGTTGGAACATTTGAGAGCGCGAGGAGAGACGCAGGGATGGAAGAAACTGGATACCAAGATTGTGGATGGGAATGTGAGTTATCCGTGTCTGCGGACGCTCCAGCACTGGGTTGATACTAATGCTTTCTTCCAGACAGACATAACCCAAGCTCTCCCTAAGGCATCATACACACATATATTCGCCTCCTTCGCTATATCCATGCTCCCCGCACAGACACTCACGTATCTTTGCTCACTGTTGCGCCCAGGCGGATACATGGCAGTTGCAACGTGGTCGAGCATGTCATGGGACAGCCTTCTCACTCGCAGCATCGCTCTCACAAACGCGCCACAGCCTTACTCGCCCTCGCGTGAGGAACTGCGAGAAAAGTTCTGCGGACTTTGGGCTGACGAGTCATACTTGGCACAGCAGTTTGAAGCAGTGGGCTTGCGAAGAGTAGGGACTTCTAATGAGAAGAAAGCCGTAAGCGTTGGGACGCCAGATGTTTTCGTAGCGACTATGCAGTTTCCGCTGCAATATGTAAGGAGTACATGGTGGCAGGGCGAGCGAGAGGGAATCCTAGAAGATTTGAATGGTGCTATGAAAGGCATTGTACAGCAGGAGGTTGGAGAGGATGGGGAAGTGGAACTGGTGTTCGATGGGATAGTTGGGTGGGGTTGGAAGAGTGGTTAAGGGTCCATCTAGCTGTGCAGCGCGATGTAGTTTCCATTTGCGACATCTGTAAACGACCCCATCTTCTTTGCCTCTGAGTATTTAACAAACCGTCACGACGGCAAGGATTATGTCAGTGACGTACAGCGGTCATGCCTCACTTTCAGATGATGCTATTCCTAGCGTCGAGGCGCACGTCCCCGCAAGTGTTCCACCCCAATGTCGATCAGCCGGCGCGACATCTCGTGGCCTCCCGACAGAGTGACCGGCGATAGATTGACTCGACACCCAGCGCCATGTTCCCTTGAGACACCCCGACACTCCTTTGGTCCACTTACAACCTCCACCTCGCCCACTAGAGCGTCTACCACTTTTCACCCACGAAGATGTCTGGCGCTCGCCCACTGCTCTCTGCACGCGCGTCCTCGGACATCAGCGGAGAGCGCGACATAGCAGAAGATGAAGCTCTGCTCACAGGCCGCCCAACAGCACACACGGAGAAGGACGGGCCGCGATCATGGAAGTTCTGGAGAGAAATAGGTCTATTTGTCTGGGCTGTCATCGCAACAGCGGCCGTCATCGTGCTCGCCGTCATCTTCCAGAAGGCCGGTTCCGACTCCAAGGCTTCACATGCGAACGGGAAGAGGAACTTGATCTTCATGGTGTCTGATGGCATGGGCCCTACCTCGCTGTCGCTCACAAGATCGTTCATGCAGTTCCAGAACGGCGCACCCTGGAGTGAGCAGCTCGTTATCGATCAACACCTTATCGGACAGTCGCGAACACGGTCCTCTTCCTCCCTCATTACCGACTCGGCAGCAGGCGCGACTGCATTCTCTTGTGCGCAGAAGAGCTACAACGGTGCCATCTCTGTTACACCCGACCACGAGCCATGCGGCACAGTGCTGGAAGCGGCCAAAAAGGCAGGATACATGACTGGCCTGGTTGTGACCACGAGGATCACGGATGCGACACCGGCGTGCTTTGCGGCTCATGTCAACATGCGATCGGAAGAAGACCGCATCGCAGAACAGATGGTCGGAGACTACCCGCTTGGGCGCGTCGTGGATTTGATGTTTGGAGGCGGCCGATGCCACTTCCTGCCCAACTCGACGGTCGACTCCAGCTGCCGCGCCGACAACAAAGATATCGTGGAATTGGCGAAGAAGAAAGGATACAAATACGTCGACGACCGCGCGGGCTTTGACATGTTGAAAACAGGAGCAGGCCTAGATCTGCCCATCTTGGGACTTTATGCCGACACAGATATTCCCTACGAGATTGACCGCCGCAACGAGAACGACATCTACCCTAGCCTGCACGAGATGGCCGAGGTTGCCATGAAGGCGCTGAGCGATGCGACCAGGGACAGCGACAAGGGCTTCTTCCTTATGATCGAAGGGTCAAGAATCGACCATGCAGGCCACCACAACGACCCTGCTGCTCAGGTACACGAGGTGCTCGCATACGACAGGACCTTTACCAGCGTACTGGACTTTATCAAGAACGAGAAGACAGAGACAGTCATGGTCTCCACCTCGGACCACGAGACAGGTGGTCTAGCTGTTGCCCGCCGTACGTTCTCCCCACCCCTCCAGTAGCAACCCTCACTAACAGCCACCAGAACTCCACGCATCCTATCCCGAATATCTCTGGTACCCCTCCCCCCTCGCAAACGCCTCGCACTCCGCCGAGCGCCTCGCCCTCGAATACACAAAGTACCTCCTCGCCGGCCCATCTGACGAGGACAAGGCCAACTTTGTGCGGAGTTCCATCACATCCGGTCTGGGCATCTACGACTACACCGACAAGGAAGTCGCTGATCTCGTCGCTGAACCCATCACCTCCCTATACCAATACGCAGACATGGTCTCCCGCCGTTCACAAACCGGCTGGTCGACCCACGGTCACAGCGGCGCAGATGTGAATATCTACTCTTCGGACCCCGAGGCTGCCAAGGCGCTGGTGGGTAACCATGAGAACACTGAGGTTGGGGACTTTTTGAGGGATTATCTGGATGTGGATGTTGAGGCTGTTACTAAGGAGCTGAGGGAGAAGGGTACGGGGTTGACGGTGCTGGATGTCAATGGTACGGAGGTTAGCTGGATGGGCAAGGTACCTGAGGAAGGGCAGAGACTGGATGGTCAGACGCATCTGGCCAGCTATGGAGGTGACCATAAGAAGAGAGGTGATGGGGGTGTTGTTCACGGTGAGGAGTGTGGCTGTGGGCATTGATTTTGAAGTCGTTTGGGCATGCTTTGGCGTTTTGGGTGCAGAAGAGATACCGGTTGATATAGACTATTTAGCTTTTAGCGTCAAGTTACAGTTCAATTTCAGCTAAATCCATCAGCAACTTAGTTGACAAGCGATTCAGAGTTCTCATTATCATTATACGAAGGAAAGGAACCAACCTTTTTCGTACACAAACCCAGCCTAGATATCTACCATCATACGGCACCACCAATCAAGCCAAGCACTCGAAAAACCCCTCAGTCTGCCAGCTCCATCTACTACCTCTACTCTCCTTCCTCCTGTCACTACCTGCATCACTCTTCTCTTTTCTCGGTCTCCTTCTTTGCGTTATACCAACTCCCATCTCCTCCCTGCCAAGCGTACCTTCCCTCCTCTCACCACCTTCCGCGCCAGCTTGCGTGCCAGACTGCGTTCCTGATCTGATGCTCCTCCTCAGCGAACTCCTCGACCTGATATCCACATCTCTCGGTGGGTACTGCCAATCAGCCATACCGATATCGTCGCCAGCATCCCCTTTCCTTCTTCCCTTCAGCTTTTTCTTCCACTTCCCCATTCTCCCACTCTTAACCCTACGTATTGACCCTTCCCCCACACCGCCCCAAAACCTACAAACCAGTGCACACACATGCCACAGAGCCAGAAACATCGCGCCCGTCGCTGATATGCCACCTGCACTGTGTATAGCCCAGTTGACGCGATTGCAGCGGGCCTGGAACGAAAGTCCCTTTTGAAGAAAGATGAAATGCCATAGAGGGTAGTGGAATTTTCCGATGCAGAAAGCGAGGCCGGGCTTGATGTTGGATACGTAGACGTAGATGTGGGAGGCGAGAGTTAGGAACATGATTGTATCCCAGAGGCTGAGGAGGAGGTTGTGAGCTAGGGGCTTGTAGGCCGGGTGGAGGAAGGGGTGGTACGTGTGCTGACTCGGTGACGACGGTGATGATGTCGGTGGGTTGCCCGAGTCACTGGCCCAGTGTGATGATGTGCGGTTGCGGAGTGTAAAGTTTTGACTTGATGGCGGACGTTCGATGTCGTGTGCAGGTCTTTGCGAGCGTTCTTCTTCTTGATCTCCTTCTCTTCCTTCGAGACGTCCCCATTGCTGATTCCACCATGTGAAAAAGCGCTGCCGTAACCTTTCCAGCCATGCTTTTGTAGCTCTCCGCCTCCTCCTCACATCTCTCTCCCTCCGTACCGCATGAAACTGATCCGCATACCAGCCAATGCACAGCGAAGCGTGCAGCGCATCCAGCGGTACCTATCACACATCAACACCTGCATCTGACACTGACGATCACTCCAGCCTTTCCGATCTCGATGCCGATTCGTACACCCTTATCGTACCAGACTCTCACTCCGCGAACTCACAAACAGATAGATAAAGACCCAACTAAAAACTGCCGTTCGTTCGAAGAATAGCTGCATGAGTTGCTTCTTCCAGTCCGGCGGTACACCATAGTCTTCGACCGCCTCAGCAGCAGCCGTATGTGAGATGAGTTGCATGAGGAGCAGGATCGCGGTGCTGAGTATGAGTATGTGGATGACGATGTGGGCTTCGAGGACGCGAGGGTGGCGGTCATTTGGTAGGGAAGCGAGGGAGAACGGCGCGGACGAGGTCGAAGCCATGATGATTTGGGAGTGGTGAGAGCTACGCGTGTCTCTGTTGTGGAGGTGATCTGACGAGACGTTGCGCTTTTCTGGGCTCGCTCGTGCAGGCGCTTGTTCGTGACTGCCCAGGTGCGGCCGAAGGCTGGGGATGAAGTGATCTGGAGAGGCTGCGGCAGGAGCAACCATGCCAGCTAGCTGCTAAGTACCAACGGCGACGTCGCTCTTGCCGTAAGTGGCAATCGCCTGCTCGCGATACCTAGGTACCATGCCAGCCCAGATATGAGCTAGTGGCAGGGCAGGAATCAGCGAAGAAGGCAGGTGCGACTAGTAAGAACACCTCGAACGCTATCTACTCGTCTACGATATCGTGTAGAGGAGTGTGCTGTAGCAGATTTCCATCAGGGTAAGATAGAATAAAGACTCATTTTGTTGATATATGCCTACCAGGCAAAACCTACCTTGAAGGTATTCATGATCCCGGACATAATATGTGTGTACCTTTGAGGTTTCCTTTTTTCATATCAAGGCGAGATCGAACTGATTATAACCTTTCCGATATATGCCTTGAGGCAAATTCTACCTTTGAGGTACACATCACATTTGTGATGATTCGACGAAGTTCAGCGTATATGTGCCTAGATAGTCTGATTTCGTCAAGATACCTCCCAAAGTAAAGTTATGTCCATACCAATGAATTTCCCTTCATTACTGAACTACTCTTCCTTCATACCGGATACCAAGCGACCATCACCAGTTAGGCGTACCTTCCCCTACCCACAACTCCAAACTCCACGCTAATACAAGGGCAAATAGCACTCTGGGCAAGCAAACAGTTCCCCGCCGGCCAAATTGAGTGAAAGTAGACAAATTAGAGAAGGTCAGTCTGGTCCTACTGAGCAAGCTACACTCCAAACTCGTTACCAAAGTTGCCGTTACCGTACGACGTCGTCCAATCTGGCTGAGTGTCTAGTAACCAGGAAACCGAATCGAACATCTCGAAGCTGTTCGCACTAGCCATACCATTGGGCATTTGCAATGGCATACTAAGCGTGTTGATGTGTGGGTTGAAATTGGGCAAGGTATGAGCCGGGTTTTCCACGGCACCAGGCGGTGGTGTAGAATTGCTGGAGGAGTCCGGATTCGTGGGGTTTGTCATGACCGTG